GATGATTATTTTCACTGTTTTTGGCCTAAATGTCAATACAAGACAATAAAGAAAAGTAATTTAAATTCACATCAATTAATGCATTCAAAAATTAAACAATTTAAATGTGATTTTAATAATTGTCATAGGGTATTTACACAATATTGTCATTTAATTAGACATAAAAATAACGTTCATTTAAATGTGAGATTTATTTGTGATTTCAATGAATGCCACAAACGTTTTACAGCAAAACATGATTTATTTTGACACAAAAGTTCTGTTCATTTGAATGAAAAGAAATTTAAATGTAATGAAGATAATTGTGGCAAAAAAAATTAAACGGAAACAATATTTAATTCAACACAAACGCATTCATTCGGGAGAAAAACCATTTGTTTGTCAATTCAATGATTGTAACAAAACATTTAGTGATCGCTCGACTCTATATAATCACAAGAGAAGAATTCACACAAAATATTCGGAAATATAAATGCAATTCAAATAATTGCAAAAAATATTTTATCACTAAAACTTTATTAACAAATTACATGAATGCCAAACATTTAAATATACATCAATTCAAATAAATATCCGGAAATTCAAATGCACTTTAAGTGATTGCGAGAAAACATAAGAATTTAAATATGAATTAATAAAACACACAAAACGTATTCATTTAAATGATAAGCCATTCAAATGTATTAAATATAATTGTCACAAATCATATGTAGTTAAAAGCGGATTAACTCGGTATTTAATGAAGTCTCATAAAATTAAATGATATTTTAATGCTAATTATAATTTACTTTTATTATAATATTTTATTTATTTTAAATAACTTAAATTGTAATAAAAGTTATTAAAAAAGTGGTGATCTTCAAAGACACAAAAGATGTAATCATTTGAAGGAAAGAAAATTCAAATGTAATGAAAAAATTGTGGCAAAAAATTTCACAGAAAATGAAATCTAATTCAACACAAACGCATTCATTCGGGAGAAAACCATTTGTTTGTCATTTCAATGATTGTAACAAATGATTTTCAGATCAATCGTCTCTCAGAACACATATGAAACGATATTTAAATATAAAAAGCCATAAATGTATTCATAATAACTGTAATCAACGCTTTGTTACAAATCATAAATTGCAAATACATGTGAAACGTAAGCATTAAAGTTTTAACAACTAATTTACTAATCCTTGGGGTCTATTATTATTAGTAATAGAGCGCATAGTGTACAGTATTATTCTATAAATAGCATACTTATTATTGTATTGTTTGATAAACTTTTATAACTTTAATCAGACAATAATTTGCTGAACAAATAGGTAAACTAACTTATTTTGTAATTTAAGTACTAACTTGTAAATATAGTGTGAATCAACAAAATAATACAAAATAAGTTAGTGTACCTATTTATTAAGCAAATAATACTAAAATGTAGAAAATTACACATGATTTAGCAATTAATTAATAGTTTTAAGTATTAATGTAAAAATTCATCAAATTTAATTTTTTGTTATTTATTTGAATAATTATAAACAATCTATTGATCGTTAAATTAATTATAATAGTGTTTCCAAAAGCCATCGCAAGTAGTATTGAATAAATTATTAAAATTATTCCAAAGTTTGTATGGATTGAGTTCTTTGGCTTTCGGCACATAATCCTTCACTTTGTTGTCAATAAGTTTAGGCCAATCGACAGTTGGTTTCCTTTTAAGTAATTGAAAAATTTACAATTTAATAAAATAAATTTGAAATACAATAAAAATCAAACAAATTCTTATAAAAATTTTACCCATATTTAGCGAAATCGGTCCACATTTTCATGACATCCCGACTAAACTGTTTGTCTACTTCTGTATCGGTTTTCTGGGGATAAAGAAATGGTAGACCGAAAACAAACTGCAATTCGTCGCCATGAGTGACACCAAACATGTCTGGACCCGGTTTTGATGGCGTCCTATGATATTTCAGTTCATAGAAATATACATTACTTTCGG